ATACAAAAGTCCTTTGGGAGTCTCACAATTTTTATGAGTATAAATGAGTCCTGAGACCAAAAAATGTAAAGGCACCATTCAAGAGGAATATCAACAAGCTGTAAGAATTGTCATCTCAGGATGGGAGTATAGAAAGCATTCGCTTCTATCACTTATATTTCCTTTAATGTCCAACTTTTCAATCTAGAAAGCATTGTTTTAAAATCTCAGGAAAAACTAAAACATTCAAAAAGGAAAATAGGTAGTGTAGAAATACATTTGGCGACATGCGATGTTCAAGACATACTGAGTCAAACAGCTGGTCATATCGAGCGCCTCTCTATGTTCTAAATATCATTGGGATATAGGATTAAAACAGCTTAAGAGATCTATAACATATACTATTGATTGCATTTTCAATTATACATAAAGAGAGAAACAAAGAAAAGTCTCAAGTATACACCAAACCATTAACTAACAGTGGTTATGTCTGGGTTGGTAACTGCTAAGCAGTTGAACTGTTAGCTCTTTGCTTTCTAATACTTGGTTCTCGGGTATGTAAAGCAGACACTTTTTTAAAAGAAGCCAAAATAGACACGGATGTACAAAAACCGAAACACCTGGTAAGCACCCCTCCCCCACGCCCAGGTCAGTTACCTTTCCAGGTTGTAATACTCAAGCCACATGTTGGCGTACTTGGCATTTCCTTTGGTCATGATGCTGTCCCAGAGTTCCCGGGCTTTCTGCATATTCTTGCAAAGTCGAGCCTAAAACGAATTTGCAGGCTCAGTGATGAGAGGCCCTAACCCAATAACACCAACCTGCAGATACATACAAAAAGACTCCTGCCGATGGGAGTACACCCACAAATACATATAGGTTTGACAAAGGATATACGTACAACATATATACTCGAGTATAAGCCGACCTGAATATCAGTCGAGGCACCTAATTTTACCACAAAAACTGCATTAAAAATGTGCTGAAAAGCTCGGCGTATACACGAGTATATACGGTCTAATATTTACCTTTGCTGCAAACACAACCATGAATGTGGTAGCACAAGCAGGGGCAACGTTCTGATAACTCCTTAGATATAACCAAACACTGAGGGGGTGAGTTGCTGGGCTCAGGAAACAGCAGAGTCCACAAAGACAATGCTCTACATTCTACTTTGGTGAGCAGGGACTATTGACCTCCCCCAGTCTGGAGGGCAGAGTGATGAAAAACAAAGACACTGGAAGCAGTTCATCCCGGGAACTAATGACTATGCGACCTTGTTCTTCACCACCCCGAGATCAGACCTCGATGGTGCCCAGGTACCGCTACCAACCATTCTGAAAAGAATCACATAAGACGGTTCTGGACAGAGTAAGAGAATAATGTAGAAGAAAACTCAAAATTGTAAGAGACTGGACTTTCTAGTTAGATAGGTAGAACCCCCATGACCGTGGCCTGTTGTTACCCACCAGGTCGGGAACAACATTCACCCGCACAGCTCAGTTTTTAGCCCAACAATAAACAGGTCCGCAATGGGAACAAGAACAATAACATCTTAGCCTAATCAGCCATTAAAGATCAGAGAGCAGCAGTGACGCCAGGGCAAAGTTCAGAAGGGTTAGGAGAGGAGAGGGAACACAGGGAGGAGGTGAGATGAGGGATGGCCCACGGTGGGGAGGGCCATCAATGACATG